TGTGGTAAGAAATCAGATAAGTTATGCGTTAACTTTAATTTTGCGTCGGCTTCGAATTCTTGCCGGTTCATAAAACACACGCAATACTCTAACCAATCAGAGGAAACATGCTGTGACCTCTTCCAATCACATCACAGAAAAAACTGAAACCAATCATGAATTGGCTGACGCGCGTTTTTCCGCGCCCGGCACACCGGTTGTAATTTTTCTCGCGCTTAGAACCAGTTACATATTTTCCCGCGCGTATATTAACACCGGTATTAGCACCGGCTCTTTGCATACTTTTGCTGAGAGTTTTGATTGGTTCAATGCGTAACTTGAGTCTGTCGTGATTGGCCGCAACCGTATGTGAAACACTTCTCGTATTCTTTGTTTTCCAGTCACCCCCAAAGACAAGTTAAACTGCAGCATGGCGAAGGTGGAAAAGATGTGTGGAGAGGACCACAACATTTACATGAGCAAGTGTTCTATGTTCGGCAGAGGAGTGGCATTGGCTTATTACGGACCGTGTAAAGACGAATGTCTCAAAACTGAAGCAAAGGTGAGATTATCTTCATTATGTGCGACTTGCGTGAGTCACGGAGATTAGTCACGCAACAATACTAAGCAAATAAGTCAATCAGACGCCTGCAAAGGAGATTGTTTATAACGCTTGACGAGCTGATCCAATATCAAAATTCTCTTTGTTTGTATCTATACTTTTCTTACAGTACCTGTAAGGAGAATTTTTTAATCAAACGCGTGAAATATTTGGTGGCCTAGTCCGCAGACGTGCAACAAGGTAGCTAGAGATGTCTTGTTCCTTAGCGCAATACTCGTGTCTCGCACGCACGTTTCATACTCTCACGTTCCACGTTCGCTAGAAAGCTCTTGTCATTTTCTGGGTGAAATTCGAACTGGCTTCTAAATTGAGTTTAAATTCTTTACACGTCCTTTCATTCTCAGGTGTGTGGTGTAGATGGTGTGACGTATCAGAGCTCCTGTCACGCATCTCTTCACAACAGTCACGTAGACTACCCCGGACAGTGTGACGAAGTGTATCCGACGAACAACCCTTTTCAGAACAGCGCGTTGGGGGGACATTTCAACGCTCGCTGTAAAACTGTCTCAGAACTCCTTAGATGTCCTGGAGCAGCCTGTGAAAATCCTGTCATTCCTGAGGGAAGCTGTTGCCCCATATGTGGTAAGGAGTTCATCCCAAAAGTGAACATTTAAAAATAGTATAAAAATAGTCGACAAATTTAACAAGCCAAAGACATGGGCTGATATTAAACTGGTCTGGTCATAAAACAGGGCAGGAATTCTACAAC